GATATGTCTGGAGTGCAAGAGATCCATTAAGAGCTCTCCTAGCATCACCGTATCCTATGATTAAAGTCACTGGGAAACTACAACAACTCAATTCAGGCAAGATGATATGTGACCAGGCCCTTTAGGAATGAAAGTGTGTGTCACCCATTCATTTAAAGAGCCAATACACACACACACATACACACACACACACACACACAAAGAGAGAGAGACAGAGAGAGATACAGAGAGACAGAGAGATTTTATTGAAAAAGTCCATACCTTTAGGAAAATAATTGATACCCTGGTAGTATAAATTTGCACAAGGTTTGTGGAATACAAAATATAAGGGCATTCATCATTATCAGACCAGCCATACATGAAATGCTCTACGGAGCTTTTTTAAGGAATCAAGAGGATAACTAGTATCATCAAAACATGAGAGAATACAACCAGAGCAGTATAGCAGATATACAAAACAGAGAAATAACTAGAGCTTCTTAATACAGAAAGCTGTCTTAGTTTTCTTTTGAAGTTGCTATTGTAAAAAGCAATTAGGAGAGAAAGGGATTATTTCAGCTCACAGTGCAAATATCTAATCCATTATGACATGGAAGTCAAGGCAGCAGGAGTCTGAATCAGCTGGTCACATTACACTCACAGTCAAGAAGAGAGACATGATTGTGCTTAGCTCAGTTTCTCTTTTTTATGCAATCTGGGGTCCTAGCTCAGGGAATGGTGCCACCAACAGTGGGCAGGTCCTCTCGCCTCAATTAACTTAATCAAGATCATACAAAATAGGCATGCCCAGAGACCTACCTCTTTATCTCATCAAACTGACAACTGAGATTAACCATTGTAACTTCCCAAACCACGAATATGAGCATTAAGAGAGGCAGAACAGAACAAAGGATATATAAAATAATCAGAAGCAAATTAATGAAATGATAGCAATAAGTATCTAGTAATAATATGCTTGAATGTAAATGAATTGTATTATAAAAATGAAAAATTTAGGTTCCTAAATGCATTTAAGAAAAAGACACAAAGATACACTGTCTAGGACCAAGGAGACTCCTTTTTAGATAAAGGCACCCCCCCCAATCTGACCACCTGAGTTCACTCACTGATAACCCCATGATGGAATGAGAGAACTGACTCCCTAAGCTGTCTTCTAATCTCCAAATACATGCCGTGACACACACATGTGCACACACACAAATAAATAAATGTAAGTTAAAGATGAAAATTAATTTTAAAAGTATATATTGTCTACAAGAAACTCATTTCAGTCAGGTGTATGTGCTTATAGTCACAGAACTCAGGAGGTGGAGGCAGAGAATCAGGAGTTCAAGGCCAGTTCTTGGCTATATAGTGAGTTAAGGGCCAGCCTGGGCTACATGAGACCCTGTCTTAAAAGAATCACTTTCACTTTTTCAGTAAAGATACACATACATAGATTAAAGCAAAACAAGGAAAAGGATGTACCATATAAATGGACATTAAAAGTGACTAGCCAGTCCTACATCATATTGACCTTACGTAAATAACTCTAAAAAGAGATGAAGAAGGGCATTTTTTTCTGATGGAAAAGGAGCTAGTTCAACGAGGGCAAATCATTATAAATTGAAATGTATTTCATGTTGAAACACTCAATTATATGAAGCAAGCATTGCAAACAAAAGGTGCACCAGTATATGAATAGTTGAGGACACACTTTTAGCAATGGAAAGACAATTCACAAAAAAATTAATGAAGAAATTTCGGGGTTACATTTCTTCATATCACCAATGGGCTTTGCAGACATCGTGGAAATTTCCATCCTACTGCATTTCATCCCACTGCATATTTTTAGCACCAGCACATGGAACAATCTCCAGGATTCATCCATTTTCTCTATTTCCATCTTTCTTTCAGTTTCTGAAACAGGGTTTCACTCTGTAGGTCACGCTGGAATCCTCAATATATCCTAGGTTGCTCTGAACTTTTGATCATTCTGCCTCAGACTCCTGGTACCTAGGAGTACAGGCGTGAGTTCCCACACAGCTCCAGTTTCTTTCTACTGCTAAACAAATAAAAATTAAAAGTATAGCATTTATCTTCCCTGATGCAATGAAATAACGCTATAAATCAACAAAAGGTTTTAAAATTATATAAATCTGTGGAAATTAAATAAAGTGCAACTAGCTGTAGGTTAAGTGACAGACCATCTCAAAATATAAGGTGACTAGAGATCAAGAAAGACAACCAGCATTGACATCTGACTTCCACATGGATGCACACACAAATTTGCACACCCACACAAACACATACATACATACATACACACACATGCATACACATGTGCATTCACGCATACAAAAAGAAAAATAGCAATAGTGCCTTTATGGTAAGACCTCACCAATCAAAGATTTATGGTGCCCAGGTCCAAAAGGTTTGTGAAAAGAAATCTTCCAAATTCTATGATTCTATGTTGGCAAGGTTTGATTTGTCATAAACTCCTATGTATGAAAAAAATACAATGACATCTCTATTCCCAGGTGCAGGCTCTCAGAGGCCTCTGCAGGTATGATGAGACGGGGCCAGGCTACATCTCAAGCTGGTAGCAGAACTTAGTGTCATCATCCATGTATATGTGGATATGTATTGCTATATGTGTCTATTGTATGATTTAGTAGATATTTAAACATTAATATGGATTAATGTTCCAATGCTTTGCTTTATATCTTTCATTGGAAATAAGACTCAGTATGCTATATACAACAAGCTCAGTGTAATACAGCAGTCATGTGAAATAAGTTCAGAGATTCAACTCTGGCTTCCAATGATCTTGCATTAAACCAAAGGTATGTAACAGAGTTTCATCAAATTATTATTATTTGTACCATATTGGTCACTACCTAAAAACAATAAATTCAAATATTTCTTCGTTATGAAGAAATATTTATACACATTTGATTTGTTGTAATTCCTGTTTTTGTACAAATATTTGTACAAATATTTTTGTAAAAAGATTTGATGATCACTGAAAACATTACCTTGTTAGAAATATAACCAAAACTTTTTTTCAATTTCTACTTCTCTTTTCTTCCCTTAGTTCATAATCATAAAGGTAAGAATTATATAACATTAACTGTACTATTTACCATGTGAAAAACTCAGCAAATGGAGGCAGGCCTTATATCCTAGAGGAAGAACAGGAAGATAATCCCGAGCCCTGAAAGTCAAATCATGCCATCTGTCTTGTATTTGCTGTGCTACAAGTCAAGATTATTCCTCATCATTCCCACTTCACCATCCCATGACCTGTACAAGAAACACTTTAAATCAATCACGTGTTCTATAATGCACCTTTAACTGCGGCCAAACCAACTTGAATACTTTAATCACTCCCTCTGAGCCTCAAACATCTATGTATTCCCCAAGCAGCAGCTGGTCTTTTCCTTGCCACTCATGTATTTCAATAGAGATATTATATACAGAAGGGCTCCAAACACCTGTGAGCCTTCTTTGCCTCAAATTACAGGTGTAATGCATTCAAGTAAATGCTGGAGCCCTTGTCACTGCTTTCAGGAAATATCATGCATTAGAATATTATATGTGTGTGGAAGAATCTTCCAATCAGATAAACCCGTTCATTTCATTTGCATATGAAGAGTCAGAGACACTGGCTGACTTGGTAAGTTGCACAGTTACACACATTTAAGAGGGTCTGCATCACATTTTGTGAATCTTGAGCCACTCTTGTTTTTTGTACAACAATTTATCAAGAGCTGTGCTGGACACATATTTAAAAACAGGTGGGTGGATGCAGAAGACATCTAAAATTCCAGGGAACAGGTAAAATAAGAAGAATGAAGAGTTAAAGAAAGGGTGCTGGACTTCAGAATTAAAAGGTCAAAGAATAGAGTATACTTTTATAGGTAAACTGGAGTTAGCCATGGAATAATTTTTTTAGCATGTTGACTTATGGCTGAGTTTTGTGAAAGAAAAGAGCTAATTTGGTGACAAGAGGAAAAAGGTTTTGTCATGAATTCCAGGTACACATTATTTCAATCAGCTTCTGTCATTTTTGTAAAGCCTTCTCACAACTCCATAAGAGATAGACTCTAGTTCTAAACTTTCAAGCATGCTAAATTGTCTAAGTTCTTCTGAATTAACAACTATTTGTCTTTGTATAAGTTTGTTTCATTGTGTTTTGTGTAAACTCTGCCAAAAGGAAAACTTTTCTATTTCAAGCAGCTTTTGTGAAAACCAATCAGTTCTAGCACTTAAAAACTATCTGACTTCAAACAGCATGGTCATTAACAATCTTTCTACTTAAAGCAAACCTGATGATGTATAAATCTTTCATGCTTTAGCCAAAGCATGTGCTTCAGCCTTTGAAAAAATACCTAGCATTGGTGACTGAGCAGATGAAAATAATAAAACATTATATATATATGCATATATATATGAAATGAAGAAGAATTAGAGGCTATCTATTTTTTATTTTGGACAATCTTCACCAGAAAGCCAATATTTCTATGGAGCCATTTCCCCTCTCCTTGTGTTCAATTTCTGTTTCCTTTGCCACTTCCAGATCAGAACTCACTATCGTGTTCCCATTAGTAATCAATCATGAGTCTCAAACTTTCCTCAAGCCAGCCTGCTACTAGTCATAATGTCATGGGAAACAGTGTGACTTATCTTCTAAGACCTGTTGGCATACAGTTGTAAAAGTTAAAAAGGATTTCACAAGATGAGAAGTAAAAACTTGATTACTTTAATTTTTATTTCCTTTATAAATATCTGAATTTTGTTTTGAAGACAAAGTGCTAAGTTACAAGCTTCAGTATGAGTTGAATTGTTTCAAATATTTTGAAAGGCCATTGGGGAAAATATTTGACTATGGTGAATTGGTCAGGGTACAGTGAGAAACTATCTGGTTGAACAGTCACTAAATCACTTTGTGCAAAACCTCACTTTGCATTTCATGACTGTATTTTTCCCCAGTTCTTCTCTCTGGAAATTTCAGAGTTCTTACAGAAATCAAAGTGAATGGCCTGGAGCAATCAGTCAGTCGTGACTGAATTCATACTCAGCGGACTGCCTGGTTCTTCGGAAGTCCAAATCATCTACTTCCTGTTCTTCTCTGCAGTCTATGCAGCCACTGTGCTGGGGAACATCCTCATTGTGCTCACGATCACATTAGAGCCACGCCTTCACTCCCCCATGTACTTTCTGCTCGGCAATTTGTCCTTCATTGACATGTCCCTGGCTTCTTTTGCCACTCCCAAAATGACTGCAGACTTCCTCAGTGAGCACAAAGCCATCTCTTTCGAAGGCTGCATAACCCAGATATTCTTCCTGCATCTCTTAGGAGGTGCTGAGATTGTCCTGCTGATTTCCATGTCGTTTGATAGGTATGTGGCTATATGCAGACCTCTACGCTATCTAACCATCATGAGTGGGAGAATGTGCATTGGGCTTGTGGCCCTTTCCTGGACTGTGGGAATCTTCCATGCTCTGAGCCAGTTAGCGTTTACTGTGAATCTGCCCTTCTGTGGACCTAATGAAGTAGACAGTTTCTTCTGTGACCTCCCTTTGGTGATTAAACTTTCTTGTGTAGACACATACATTTTGGGAGTGTTCATGATCTCCACCAGTGGCATGATTGCCCTGGTATGCTTCATCCTCCTGGTGATCTCCTACACTATTATTCTTGCCACTGTGCGGCAGAATTCCTCTGCTGGCTCCTCCAAAGCCCTTTCCACCTGCAGTGCCCACTTTACTGTTGTAACCCTGTTCTTTGGTCCCTGCATTTTCATCTATGTGTGGCCATTCACCAACTTTCCAATAGACAAAATACTCTCCATATTTTACACTATATTCACTCCACTCTTGAACCCAGTCATCTATACTCTCAGAAATAAAGACATGAAAGAGTCCATGAGAAAACTAAGCAGCCATATGTTTAAGTCTAGGAAAGGATGCCAAACATCTTAACTTTTCTCATAAAAATGGAATACTTATTCAGCATTTATCTATGTATCTTTACCAATAAGTGAATCAACATATTATTCTTTTGTGCTTATATTTTATTTATTATTTTTATCTTATGTGCATGAGTGTTTTGTCTGCATGCCTGTAAGAGCATCTGTGCCCAGGGAGGTCAGAAGAAGAAGTCATAGTCTCTCGAACTGGAGTTAATGGACAGTTAGCCACCATGTGGTGCTGGGAATGGAACCTGGGTCCTCTACAAGAGCAGCCAGTGCTCTTAAATGCTGAGTCATCTTTCCAGTCCCTCAAAACATTTTGAGTAATCATTTTGCTGAGCACAGAATTTCTCTGTAATCAACCTCAGCCACCAGAAGTCATGAAGTTCTGGCCACATTAGTTATTCCACATTTGCACATAACATCTGCAAGAGTATGACTGAATTTATACTCAACAATTCACTTGTAAGGATCAACACTTCAAAATATTCAATATTTCCCATCTCTAATATTTAAGCATTCTTTCCCTCATAGTATCTATATGTATTAAAAAGAGTAGATTCTCCCATAGCTTCATGAAAAAGTATATAGTTGTTGGAAATTTTAAGCGAAGAAGCAAGAGTGGAAATACCAAGCCTGGGTGTGCAGGTGTCAAAGTACCACACTCTGGTGCACACCCTGAGAACTAAGTGTGAAAGGACAAAGCCCTGGTGTTCACCCTGAGGACTAAGTGTGAAAGGACAAAGCTGCAATAGGATTTTCATTGCTGAAAAAGAAAAAATGAAATGGAGAGTTCTTGGTAAGTAAAAATATTTCTTGGTCATAATGTTGAAAATCATTTTCTGCCTTCCCAAAAGGGGTTTTCACACTTTTAAAACAGTACATTCACTCTGGGAAATTCTTATGTTTATACATATATTATATAAAATATTTGTAATATATATTAGAGTCATATACAACTCCCATCTTGACTTTAGGAGAAGGCATTACATTAAGTCTAATACAGTTGCTCTAACAAATTCAGTCTAAATGCAGGCAGTATTTAAACACTCAGTTGAAGCTATGGAAATTGGTTGACTTTCTAAGCAGTAATGAGTGATTTTAATATCATGCTTACTGTATCATTTTTTTATCCCAGACTACATTATAAATACTGAAATCCTATAAGAACTTAGCCATTTCCCCCTTGATGATAACAATATTAGCCTTAAGGACTGCATGAAACTGTGGGCCTTCAGTAAATTTGATGTACCTAATAACTGGAGTTTTTAGAAAATAGTAAATACATAGTCAAAACTATTTTGTCAAACATAACACCAGGAAATAATGTTATTTGCTCAAGTTCATACAGCTATTTGATTACAGTGAACAACATATAACATGCCTTCTCTTTCTTTCTCTCTGTAACAAATGAGAGTTCAGTAATCAACAAAAGGATTTTGGTCATTGTCATCTGGGAGCTACATGGTTGACTCATAAAACTGAACTACTATGCCCACTAATCATTAGATAATTGTGTGGCTTTGTCAGTTTGCATACTAGTTTGTATACTATTCATCCAGCTTGAGTGCAGGTAAAGACAAACAGATACACAGTTGGCTGACAAATTTTCAGGAGTGAAATAGAAAGTAATCAGTCTATATATGAATATATAGGAAACTTGATGGATAAAAAGATGCTTGGGTGGTTGGATATAAGGCAATGTAAGTTGGCAGATAAGTATACAGAAGAATAGATAAAAATTTACCTAGCACAAAGAACTTCATACATAGATTAACACATTGACCTGATAGTCTGTGTGTTTGTGGGTAAGGGTATAGATCAATAGTGGATTCACTTGATTAGCACAATGAAGGCCCTAGGTTTCATCTGAAGTACTGAAAAAAAATGGCTGTATGTCTATAAAAAGACTCCAAAACAACTGTAAACTGCAACTGTATAATTTGTTTTAATGTTAAGAAACTTTACTAGATTTGGCATAGAACTGGGGAAATGGGTAGCATTCCCAATCTTAGCCCAAGAACTATTGGCAGCTGATTACTGAAGGGTGAAGGACAGTTGATCTTCTTTAAGGGAGTAACTCTAGATAGGTTGACTAGACTCCAGTGGACAAACTTGCACTGAGGGAATTCTGGGTACACTAACTTGACACAATAAGCCTTGATGTAAATGACAGAATGCATGAAATCTGGTAGGGGAGCTAAGGGAGGGTGTGGATGGGGGAGGAGGTATAAAGATGATTAAGATGTTTTGTATGAAATCCACAAAAATTCAATAACAAATTTAAAACATAGATTTGGTGGAGTTACAAATATATAGTACAAAACTGATTTAGGTTTTTAAAACTGATTTCTTATGATGAAATAAATTTCAGTATATGAATATATTTGTCATTGGAATTAATGTTAATGCAAAATAATAAAATTATTGTTTATCCATATGACAATATTATAAACCTATCTTTTTCTTTATCCTGTTTTATTTTATGTGTAAAAGTGTTATGCCTTCATGTATATGTATGTACACCTTTGTCATACAATGCCCACAGAAGACAGAAGAGAGCATTAGATCCCCAGGAATTGGAGTTATGAATGGCTCTTAGCACCCATGTGGGTGCTAGGATTTGAACTTGGCCCCTCTGTATGAACAGCCCTTACTCTTAACTACTGAGAATACCTATAATTCCAGCATTCTGAAAGCTGAGACGGGAAACCACAATAAATGTGGGGCCATCCTGAGCTATGCGGGAAATCCTCTACCAGAAAAGGTTTGAAATCATTTTAAAGTAATACAGATTGGCATTACACTTCTCAAGGCTGAATCTAAACCTCTCTTCTTCAAAGAATGTTTCCTCCATTCTTTAATTGACTACTTTCTTCATTCCCAGATAACAAGCCAGTCTTCAATCTGTGTCTTTCCTCTTTATAAGTATTGAGAGGAGACTTTCCCTTGCTTGTTGTTGTTTTTTTTTTTTGTTCCTCTGTATACAAATTTGTTTTGTTTTGGTTTTAGTTCTGCCACCATACTTGATTCAGGAGACGGTTAGAAATAATTACACTTTTTGAAGTAATTGTCTCTATAAATATATTTTATGTAAATACTTGTCTTCTTAGTATTTTCTTTATTGTTATTTCATTATTATTTTATAAGCATGGAGGTGGAAATAGTTTCAGAGGTAGCAAATGTCTCCCTCAAATTCTGATGGTGTCCATGGAAACGGATGCAAATCTGATTTGATTACATCCTGACTCAGGTCCCTCTAGCTCTGATGATCAAGTACTCAGGACTTGTAACTTGCAGTTCATTCTGTACCATGCTCATTAAAGTATAAGCCATCCTAAAAATAGGTCCCAGGAAAAGAACTGAAAGGGTCAAGGGTATTCACTGGCCATATATAAAGTAAGAAGTTGTGAGGAGGTGAGGGAAAGGAAACTGACTGGGTTTCCATGAAAGACCAACTGCAAAAATGGGTGGACTAACACCATCCATCCATGCTTCTCACAAATCCTTTATCGACTCTTTTGCTTCTATGCATCTGTGCAGGGTTTCAGAAGAGAGAAGGAAAAGGGGAGAAAGAGGAGAGCTGGAGATGGGAGGAGGGAGCAAAGGGTGAGAGAGGAGAGAGAAGGAGGAGGGAAAAGGAAAGGGAGAGGAGGTGAAGGGGAGGAAGAGAGAGAAAACTATAAAAGAAACTTCCAACTTTCCTGCTTTCACTGTCAAAATGACTCCGTGGTTTCTAGAGTAATACTGAGAACAACAGTTATCTAGAGATGTGTCATAACATTTAGGAAGGTGAACAAGAAAGGGTAATAGTGGATGACAAGGAAGGAGGGAACACAGGCAAGGGAGACGTTAGACATGAAAGAGGGTGAAAAGTTCATTGTTTTCGTTTCAACTCAGTCATTTTTTTTCTTTTTTGTGGTCGATAAGTCCATTAAAATGCAATTAATAGCAACAATGAAAAGCTAAGCAAAGCTCCAGGGCTTCAGAAGGGCCGTTCTACCTGTATATAAGTTCATTGAGATGCAGAGTTTAGGACTACGCAAGTTTTTGCTTGAGCAGCTGCCTTACTTCACCTGTGTCATTATTTGTTTGAGAGTTCACCAGAATAAAGTGATTTTCTTTGTTAAAAAATAAGAAATAAGGCAGAGGATGTATTGCAACAGTCTGTCTCTGTCTGTCTCTCTGTCTCTGTCTCTCTGTCTCTGTCTCTTTCTGTCTCTGTCTCTGTCTCTCTGTCTCTGTCTCTCTGTCCCTGTCTCTCTGTCTCTGTCTCTGTCTCTCTCTCTCTCTCTTTCTCTCTCTCTGCATGTGTGTGTGTTAACCAAGATGGAATCTAGACTGAGTCTGTCATTCTAAATTCAGGCAATAGAACAAGGACCCTGAATTGATATATTCCAAATGATTCTCAGTACTCTGAAATTCATTTTACCACATCTGACAAATGACAAAATTGTTTGAAGAAATGCTCTGTGAAGCTTCTAGGGAAATTCAAAAACTTCCCCTACCTATAGATTAAGTTAAACTAACATTAACATTTAATCTACTACTTAGTATATAACATGCTGTGCCAGAAATGCTTAACTAGTTATATATTAATATTATCTTTTAATTAATTAAATGTAGATTAGACAATCAAATTTTAACAAGTTTATGAAGTTCATGTCATCACAACTACCACTTTTCACATGCAGAAATTGAGAATAAAAGACTCAGCTATTTGGTTAATACATTATTAATAAATTATGACACCAGGATTTGACTTTTTTCATTACTGTTTAGGTGCTAGAGACAGGGTCTCTGGCTAGGAGCAAAGCTTCTATCCAGGACATTTTTCTTTCCTACTGACCTCCTTTTCTTTCTCTCTTCCTTCCTCTTTCATGTTTATATTTTCTAAAAACAATAATATTAAAAGATGAACTGTTGGACACAAACTACCCATTCCTGCCCCATCTCTTCACATCACATGGGAACAAGCACCTGCTTTAGCAATTAATATGATCAAAACTG